CTTTTTTCTGAAGAAGGGTCTAGACCCGAAACGTCAGCTTTCCTGCTCCTCTGATGCTGCTTGGCCTGCTGTGTTCGTCCAGCTCTACACCTTGTTATCCCAGTAAGTTTAGTGCAAGGTTGTTTGGCTGAAATCAGTCAAGACAGACCACAGAAAAGGATGAATTTAAAGAAACATATTGAATAAAAGTAAAACAGACTATTAACAAACTACAAAATAAAACCAAATTTTTGTCAATACTACCTCGGTTAAAATAAAAACTGATCCTCTTACACCAAATTTTATTTGTGTCATGACAAGAACCAAAAATACACTCCAAGACACTTTACTGAAAGATGATGAAACAAAATTTAACACTGAACTATTTGATAGAATATTAAGACAGATGATTAACACAGTTGGGTTTCAAGAGTATCTTAACAAGGACAGAAGGGTAGAAAGGCTTAAGGATGATTTTCTATAGCTGTCTAGGTTTAAAGCTAGACACGGCCACCAGTGCAGGAGCAACTGAAGCCAGAGATATTCAAAAGGTCTAAATTTGAGGAGCACAAAGATCACAAGACTTTACTGGGCTGGAATATTAAAATAAAAGGAAATAAACAAAAAAACCGAGAAAGTGAGGCCGTAGAATGATTCATAAACTTAGTTGAGAATTTCAAAATTGACGCATTGTTCAATCAGGAAATAATCTCTCTCTGTGAACAGGGCTGATGAAAGGGACCAGTTGCAAGGTATATTAATAAAACAGAGATTGCAGAGCTTTTGTGAACTCAAGTTGTGGATTGTGGAAGAGGATAAAAGTGTCCACCAGAGTATTGGAATAATCAAGAGTTTTGTAGAGGTAAACTAACAATGGCAAGGACAAGGACTTGAGCAGCAAATGAGCTGAGCCGTGAGCACAGTAGGCTGATCTTTCCAGTGGTGAAATAGGCTGTCTTAGCAGTATCATAAGTCAGAGTCATACAGTATGGAAACTGATCCTTTGGTCCAACCAGTCCATGCTGACCATAATCCCAAACTAAACTTGTCCCACCTGCCTGTTCCTGGCCCATATCCCTCCAAACCCTTCCTGTTTACGTACCTATCCAAATGTGTTTTAAATTTTGTAATTGTACTTGCATCAACCACTTCCTCACGAAGTTCATTTCACACACGAACCAACCTCTTTCCCCTCATTTCTTTTTTAAATCTCTCTCTTCTCACTTTAAAAATGTGCCCCCTAGTCTTGGAATCCCCCATCCTAGGGAAAAGACAACTACCATTAACCTTATCTATATCTCTCATTATTTTATAAACTTCAATCAAGTCACCGCTCAACCTCCCACACTCCAGTGAAAAAAATTCACAGCCTATCCAGCCTTTCTTTATAACTCAAAACTTCCATACCTGGCAACATCCTGGTAAATCTCTTTTGAACCCTCTCCAGCTTGATAATATCCTTCCTATAACCGGGCAACCAGAACTGAACACAGCACTCCGGAAGAGGCCTTGCCAATGTTTTATACAACCTTAACACGACTTCCCAGCTCCTATACTCAAAGGACTGAACAATGAAGGCAAACGTGCCAAATGCCTTTTTAACCATCTTGTCTATACATGATCCTTCCCTTTGTCCTATAACACTACCCAATGCCCTACCATTAAACAGTATAAGCCTTATCCTTGATTGTTGTACCAAAATTAAATACCTCGTATTTATCTAGATTGAACTTCATCTGCCATTTTTCAGCCCATTGACCAATTTGATCAAGATCCCTTTGTAATCTTAGAAAACTTTCTTCACTGTCTACTATGCCACCAGTTTTGGCATCATCCACAAATTTACTAACCATGCCTTCTATATTCTCATCCAAATCATTTATATAAATGACAAACAAAAGAGGGCCCAAAACCAATCCATGGAACACCGTTGGCAACAAGCCTCCAGTCTGAAAAGCAACCCTCCACTATCATTCTCTGTTTCCTGCCGTTAAGCCAATTATGTATCCAATTGGCAAGCTCACCTCGAATCCCATGTGACCTAACTTTACTAATTAGTCTACCGTGTCAAAGGCTTTACTAAAATCCAAATAAACATCTACTGCTCTGCCAATCTTTTTGGTAACTTCCTCAAAAAACTCAATCAAGTTTATGAGACACGATTTTCATTGCACAAAACCATGCTGGCTATCCTTAATCAATTTTTGCCTCGCTAAATGTCCATAAATCCTATCTTTTATAATCATCTCCAACAAATCACCCACAACCAAAGGTCAGGCTCACAGGTCTATAGTTCCAATGTTTCTCCTTACAGCCTTTCTTAAACAAAGGCACAATATTAGCCATCCTCCAATCATCAGGCATAACCAGAATTCATCTCGGGGTGAAATGCGACACCAATGTGAGAGTGATTATGCAAGGTAAAGCTTTCAGTGGGGGAATTGAAGACAACAGCCCAGATATTCCAGTGACCAGAGGGTTTTTGAAGCAGCAGAGATTAGAATTTCAGTGTCGGAACAAGGTGGAAAGGCCAACACAGATGGTTCCATGGGAATTGCCCAGGAAAATAAGTTTTCCAATGGGCAATTCCCCATACCCGAACACTTTGAAACAATCCATTAACACTGGAGAAGTCAAAGGGTTCTGATTTACTTAAACTTCACAGTTACCCAGGAAAAACTAGAGGATTAAAAACACTCAAGTGTTTGGATAACTATTAAGCTGACAGTTTCAACTCATCAATGACCACACTGTCTGACACTACCAGACCTCAACAATCAATCTAGTCCCCCAGCCACACCTGACACCTACCTCCTCCCACCACCACCACCACCAGAATCAGTCTCCATCACCCCTAACCTGACCCTGCTGGACCAGAGACCACACTCCCAGACTGAAATCAAACAGACCACCTCAAACCCTGGACTGACACCCACCCAGAACCCACACTCCCCCCCACTTGCAACAATTCCTATCACCTTCTGAATAGACTGCATACTTGACCCTGCTGGCCTCACCACCCCTCCCCCCACCACTCATCTGACAGCCTGTACTCTCAATAACTCCTCCCACCAATTAGATCAAATGCACCAGTCAATCCAAACCAACACTCGCAGGCCTGACACCCATCCCAGCTGGCCTGAATCACCTTGGATCTGACATCTCCCAAAACTCCACCCCCATCAGGCCTGACATCCATCTAATGTCCTCAGTCATTTGCCATGCACCATAACCCCATACTTAACTTACATCCCTACCCTTTCACAGCAGCTGTCAAAATGGTAGATGTACTGCTGGGTATTTAAAATCACACAACAATGCAGTGACTGCTGCAAGAAAAAGTGTGCTGTTTTGCTGAAGATCTTCACTGAATTCATGGGTTAGATTCATAACAGGGGGCTCCTGTCCAGCAATTTCCAGTGCAGAAAACATACAATGGTAATTGTTTTATCATAATTTCTCCAGAACATCTGGACCAATGTTTTCCCACTGGAGGACATTTTTGTTCATGCAGTACCATAGTTGTCAGACAGTTTACCCTGTTTATAAAGGGTTGTGACATTTCCAGCGGAGTATAAAAGAAAATGCTTTTGCATTCAAGTGCACACAAGTTTTGACAAACAAGGTAGGCTCATAACGTATAAAAGTAAAATAACGTGGATGATGCAAATCTGAAACAAACACAGAAAATGCCGGAAAAACTGACAGCATACGCGGAAAGAGAAACAGAGCTTACGATCAGAGTCCAGAACGATTCTTCGTCAGAAGACTATTTTGTGTTTGTTTTTGGGCTTATAACGCCTTTAATTTTTCAGACTCAGTGACGGGAAGCGCCAGTGGCACATGGAGCCTCAGCGGTCCCTCGATCTCGGCCAGAAACGGCTTAGTCCTGCCGCAAAACTTTTACTTACCTGAGCTCCTAGCGGAGTATCTCTTGAGCTGCAGACAACGGTGACAAACCGAAGAGATGAGCAGCAGTTCCCGCAAAGTAGCGGGACGGGAACTCTGTGAAGAAAAGAGCCTCAGAAACGACATCGCTCTGCCACCTACGGCGCCATCTTGCTTGTTAGGGTCAGGCGGCCCCGCCGGAGCCAACGCGCAGGCGCACGCCTCCCGCACAGTCCCACGGGAACCGAGGCCTGTCGGCGGGTCGAACTACAATTCCCAGAACGCCAAGCGGCATACTGACCACGTGGTACCTGGCACAAGGCGTCTGAGCCAGCTGCTGCAATGAAGATCCCAAAGTCATTTGAAGCCAAGTACACTGGTCCTGTTAGCCAACTCTTCCACATCAATGACTGCATTGGTACTACTGCATCCTGCAACCAGACTGATCTGGAGCAGTTCATCGACATCACTAAAAACTTTCACCCTGCCCTCAAATTCACTTGATTTATCCCAGACACCTCCTTCCCCTTTCTTGACCTCTCTGTTTCCATTTCTGGCGACAGTTTACAGACCAACATTTACTGTAAACTCACAGACTCCCATAGCTACCCGGACTACAACTTCTCCCACCCTGTATCCTGGAAAAACTCCATTCAGTTTTGCCAATTCCTCCATCTCCGTTGCATCTGCTCTGACGAGGAGATGTCCTCTCAATTCAAACAATTTTCTTTTCCCGCCTCTGTCATCCAGACAGCCGTCCACTGCACTGCCTCCATTCCCCGCTCCACAGCTCTTAACCAGCACGCTCCCCCACCCCCCACCACCCCTGCAAACATAATGAAGATAGCGTCCCCCTTGTCCTCACTTTCCACCCCACCAGCCTCCGAATCCAACATATCATCCTCAAACATTTCGGCCAACTCTAATTAGATGCCACCATCCTGAACATCTTCCACTCCCCACCCCTCTCTGTCTGCTCCAAGGACCGTTCCCTTCGCCACACCTTACTTTGCACCACACTCCCCACCAAGCGTTCCAACCATCCCTCCTTCCCAACTCCCCGGTAACTTCCCCCATAACCATAAAAGGTGCAACACCTGCCCGCACACCACCTCCATCCAGGTGAGACAGAGTTTCACCTGCGTTTCCTCCAACCTAGTGTACTGCATCCAGTGCTCCCAATAGGGTCTTCTCTACATTGGTGACACCAAATGTAGACAAGGTGACCGTCTCGCTGATCGTCTTCGTCTAACCCGAAATAGCCAGCCTAACCTCCTGGTCACCACCCATTTCAAACTCCACCCCCCCACTCACCCTCCGACATGTCCATCCACGGCCTCCTCCAGTGTCACAGTGAATCAGATCGCAAATTTGAGGAACAACACTTGATCTTCTGCCTTGGCACCCTACAACCCGCAGGACTCAACATTGAGTTCTCTAATTTCAAAAACCTTTCTAGCCACGCCTCCTCCCTTCCGTTCCACCTGCTGACCCTCTCTTCCAGCTACCAACTGGATTCATCCCTCCCATCAACCAATCAGGTTGTACCTACTACCAGTGTCCACCTATCACCACCACTCCACTACCTTCCCCCCGACTCTATCTGTAGCTCCCTCTAACCCTACATCCAGTCCTGAAGAAGTGTAATACCTGAAACATTGACTTCTCCTTTTCTCCAGATTCTGCCTGTCTTGTTGTGTTCTTTCAGCCTCCTGTTTGTCTACCTTGAAGACAACCTTGAGGAAGGGTCACCGGACCCAAAAAGTTAACTCTGTTTTTAAATTCACGGATGCTGCCAGACCTGCTGAGCTTTTCCAGCAACTTATTTTTGTAAAACAAACAAATTGCTGTAGATCTGAAATAAAAAACAGAATGTGGTGGGGAAACTCAGCTGGTAGTTTTGTGGGAATAGGAACAAAGTTAATGTTTTATATCCAATATGACTGTTCTAAAGACAAATGGTGCATTGAATTGTAATTTTAATATAATTTTCATTCAATATGTGTTCCTGTAACATTCTGCCTATTAATGTTAATATCCCTACATCTGTCCTTATCGGTGTAATCTTCTCCAAACCTCATTACCGGTGAAAAATTCTTCAGTCTCTTTGGCTGTCCCTGTCTGTGTAATCCCTTCCACAACTAATGGTAGCAGCAAAGTAGGACGCTCCAGCCGGAGCTCCTCTGCTCCGCTCATTCTTTTCCTTTCTCGCTTTTTTTTTCTCATTTCTGGAGTGATTTTTTTTTCCAAATTTTTCAATTTTGTAAACCTGCTCAGACGGGAATGGAGGAGGTGACTCCCGGAGCAGAGGCCGTCGCAGGCGAGTCCCAGACCAGGCCAGCGTGGGAGGCGAGTCCTGGATCAGAGGCTGGCGTGGGAGCGAGTCCTGGATCAGAGGCCGGCGTGGGAGGCGAGTCCTGGATCAGAGGCCGGTGTGGGAGGCGAGTTCCAGACTGGTGGCAGCAGAGGGGAGGAGAGGCGTTGAGTTTTGAAGCCTGGTGCAGTGTGGAGGGTAGGTGTTGGCACAGACTTAGGTGAAAAGGATTGTAATTCAAGTACTTTTTTTTTTCTTTTCATTCTTATACCGGACATTTGCTTATTATTCTTTCAATTTTGTACCAAATACTTAATTGTCTGTATCTAGGTATCTTGTACCTAAAATGGCACCCTAAGAAGCAACATTGCAAACTTTTCGCTGCACTCTTTTGAGTGCACATGATAATAAAGCTAATTCAATTCAATTCCTCTTACCTGCGCAATATCTAGTTTTGTCAGTACATGATTATAACTTTTCATATTTTTAACTTGGAATCATAGAATCCCTGCAGTGTGGAAACAGGCTATTCGGCCCAACAAGTCCACAAAGCCCCTCTGAAGAGTATCCCACCCAGACCCATTATCCTACGTCTGATTTCCCATGTCTAACCCACCTAACCTAAACGTCCCTGGGCACTATGGGCAATTTAGCATGGCCAATCCACCTACCCTGCACATCTTTGGACTGTGGGAGGAAACCCACACAGACACGGGGAGAATATGAAAACTCCACACAGACAATCACCCGAGGCTGGAAGCGAACCCGGGTCCCTGCCGCTGTGAGGCAGCAGTGCTAACCACTGAGCCACCGTGCCGCCCCTTGATTAATTTGTTTCTGAATTTTTCATGTAAATTACACTAAACCTCAGCCCTTGGGCTGTGAATGTGTTTATTGAATAAAACACCACCATTGAAACACTACCATCAGATTGCTTTCTGTTTTAAGTCTCTTCCCTCCAGAGAAGGAAGAAATACTTGCATTTTATACAGCAACTTCCAGGGTTAAACCAAAGTGTGTAACATTCAGTTGTAGTCACTGTTGTAATTTATGGAAACAAGACAGCAAATTAACGCACAGCATGTAAGATAATGAACTGATCATTTATTTGTAGGTGAAGCAGAAGATATTGGTTGTACTCAGCAGGTTTGGAAGTCCCCACACAGGGAGAAACAGAATTAATATTTCAAGACAAGAAGCATTCAGAAAGATTCTGAGGTATGAAGATTTGCTGAAAAATCATCAATCTTAAAAGTTAGAACAATGCTTCTAGTCCAGAAATGCTGGCTTACCTGTTGAATATTTCTAACATTTTTCTTTTTTCATTCTAGCATCACATTATAAGGTTTTTGAATCTAATTTAGGTGAAACTTAAGGAAGAATAACAGCTAGGGAAACTGGCCTGGGATAAATTATGTTCATAGAACAAAAAGAGCCTTGGAAAGTCACTCTAACAGTGCAGGAAATGCAACAACCAATTTGCACAGTATAACACACAAAGCACAAACAGCAAGGAGATAATGAACAGCTTATTTTCTTTTGTTGTTTGTTAAGTTATAATGACTGAGAAAATGTTTCAGGAAATCTTTTGCATCCAGAGGGCAGACAGATCTTCAGTCTAACATCTCCATCAAAAGCAAAACCTCTAACAGTACAGCACTGCATTGGGTTTTAGCCTAAGTTTTGTGTTTAAATCTCTGCAATGGAACTTGATTTTATAACCTTCTGACTCAGAAGTGAGAGAGCTACAAATGGAAGGCAGTGTTATTTAGAAATGACAACCTTGAACTTAATTTTCTCATCAGCCAGCAATGATTGTTGGATAGCTGTATGACTCAATAAGATCACAGCTGATCTGTTATATCCTCAAATCCGCATTCCTGTCCAACCCTGATAATCTTTCTACCTCTTACTTAGCAATAATCTGTCTAGCTCTATCTTAAAAATATTCAAGACCTCTTCTTGCACTGCCTTTTCAGGAAGAGAGTGCCAAAGACTCATGATTCTCTGAGAGAAAAATAATTCACCTAATCTCAGGGCAACCACTGATTCTTAAATAGTGACCCCTCGTTCTAGATCCTCCAATGGAAGAAAAACCCTCTCCACATTTAACCTGTCAAAACCCTATATGTTTCAATCAAGTCACCATTGCTTTTCTAAAGTCCAGCAGGTACAGGCCCATGATGTGTGATCTTTCCTCATAAGACAACCTGCCCATTCTAGGTATTAGTCCAGTAAACCTTTTCTGAACTTCCTCCAACAGATTTACATCTTTCCTTAAATGAGGAGACCAGTATTGTCCACAATTTCCAGATATAGTCTCACTTGTCCCTTGTACAACAGAAGCATAACCTTCCTACTTTTGTAACTAAAAGATTCTGAAGAAGAGTTGTACTGGACTCGAAACATTAACTGTTTCTGTCCATAGATTACTGCCAGATCTGCTGAGTTTTTCCATCACTTTCTGTGAATGCTTCCTACTTTTGTGTTCGATTTCCCCTTGCAATAAATGATAGTATTTTATTAGCTTTCCTAATTGCTTGCTATACCTGCATATTAACCTTTTGCAATTCATGCACAAGGACACCAATATCCCTGTTTATCTCATTGTTCTCCAATCTCTGACCATTTAGATAGATGAAACAGAGTACAGAAAAGATGTAGAAAGCTTAGTGGCATGGTGTGAAGACAACAATCTCTCCCTCAATATCAGCAAACAAAGGAGCTGGTCATTGGCTTTGGGAAGCAGAGTGGAGGACACCCCTTGAATATATCAATGGTGCTGAGGTGGAAATAGTCAAGAGCTTCAAGTTCCTCGGAGAAAATATCATCAACAATCTGTCCTGGTCTATCCACATTGACGCTACAGTCAAGAAAGCACACAAACACCTCCACATCCTCGGAGGGTTAAGGAAATTT